TACACGAAGAGACCCTAAACCCTTCAAGCCCTACAGTTTCTGGTTCCCAGGCCAGGAGGAGCACAATTATGTGTTCCAGTGGCTTCTGCATTCCACGGGGATCCATGGCAACATTACTTCCAGGGAGATTTGGGGGTTTCCGAAAATAGGGGACCCTACTAAAGTACCCTACATAATAGGATTCCGATCAGAAAGGCATCAAAATAAGGTACCCCTAATCTTCGGACACTTTCATTTCGGGATGCTAGGTTTTGGATCTAGAGATGAGACTCTCAGGGGTTGGATGTCGGCTTGGGTTTAGGGTTTGGGTGGTGTGGTCTTGGGTTTATGCGCTTTGGTTTAGGGTTTGGGTGGTGTGGTCTTGGGTTTATGTCGGTTTACGTTCGACGACGCAGGAGATTTTGGGTGAGCCCAGGCAGGGTTGCACGCAAGTGTGCTTCTCTGTGTGGTTTTAGGTTTTTGCTTGGAAGGTATGTTATGGTTCAAGAGGCCCTGAGGCACTTGCGGGGTGGGGAGTGGGGGGGGGCGAGGGGGCTTTCTTCAAATTGAGCCCCGGGGCTTTCTGTACTGTAGCACTCCTCGCCCAGTGTATGCTGCTCAGCACGCTGTCACGCCGTTCCGCCAGTGATGCAGTGGCACCCACTGTTTGTTAAACTTCCAGTGGCATCGATGATGAAGAAGGTGACGCTGATCGTGGCGATGAGGTGGTGAGGGTGATGAGGAGAATGTGGACAAGGATGAACCCGATGGGAGAATCAAGCACCGAAAGAACGACGACAAAAGCACCAGCAATAGCACAAAAACGAGCAGGAGCAGCAACAGCAACAACAACGACAACAGCAGCAACCACTAAAAGAACACCACCGACGGCAACAAGCACAACCGCTCCGACAAAGACAATGACAGCGCCAACGATAACGACAGACCTTAGACTAGACCCTGAATATTGCAAGAGAAGCCTTAAACCTGTCTCCTAAACCCTGAACCTTATAATCCCTTCCCCCTAATATTCAACGGGGGAGGCCCCCAATACAAAGCTCGGAAAAGGATTTTTTCGTATTGACCTCTAGTGTCACTTTTGAAGGCTCCTGCTCGGGCTTTTGCTCCTGCTCCGGTGTTCTTGCTGTTGCCCCGGACTCCCTATATAATGCAAATTAGGTTTCAAAGCGCAGGGGTGATTTCGTGAGGATCCAACGTGTTTTGTGATTCGGGGGTGTTTAATGAATCGGGGAAGTTATCACCCTCAGCCCGATATCCTAAACACAAAGCCTTCCTTAGGACCACTGCAGCATCCCAATGGCTGGACGAGATGGCCCGGTCACTTTGCACGAAGACAGAATTGAAAACTACGGGGTGCAGGGTTTACAGCCCCAAGGGTCCAAAGGACCCAATAATGAGGTACTCGGCTTTAGGATAGTAGTTATGTAGGTTAGGATTTCGGAGTATGTGATTATTGGGTACTTGGACCCTTGGGGCAGTAGGGTCTAGGAGTCCGGGAGTTCCTTTCGGGTTCCTTCAAGGGTAGGGCTTGAGTTTGTCTATATTTATTTTTTGAGGCGTCTTCAAGTATCAAAAGCTCGGTACGGATTCGGAAGAAGTCGAATTTACTGTCTGGGCACGATTAACAAGGAACCCCAACTGCTATCAAGCACCTTCTGAGGAAATACACCACAGTTTATAGAGGTCGCACTGCGTCGCATTGAGGTTGGCGGAGTGGTTCCTCGAAGAGTGCCTTTCAAGGCTTCATTTACAGGTTCCAGGATTCGTTTTAAGGGTCCCGTTTGAGGGTTCCTTGAAGGGTTCCTACAACGGCTTAGGGCTCAGGGTTTACAGTTTTTTTTTCCGAGGTTACTATAGGGGTGACCATAGTTTGACGAATGAGGTTGTGAAAGTTTGCGGCTCTGGTTTCAAACATGTGAAAGAGTTTTAGAGCACTTCCACCACCCTCAACCCTAAACTAAGGGGTCCTTCCATTAGGGGTTTCACGACATAGGCTCTGCAAATTACAAGGTCCCACATAAGTTGCGCAACTCCTCTCAACCCCAGCCAGCCGAATCGGTAAAGGGACCCTTCAAGGAACATTGTGTTGTGTTCCCGAAACAGACCTAAGTAGAGTAGGTAACCCTTTTGGGGGGCATTATATTCCCTCTATGCACCCACAGGCTAACCTTGAGTTCACCGGGATACTTAAGTCGGCCTGTACCATGAACCCTAAACCCTGAACCCTAGTTCTAAAAGCAGCCTTTAACCCTAAACCGTCGTCATCATGAGGCGTGGCCTGTCGGACTTAAGTCGGCCTTTACCATTAACCCTAAACCCTGAGCCCTAGTTCGAAAAGGAGCGCTTAACAAAACAACTGAACCCTAAACCGTGGTCATCATGAGGCGTGGCCTGTCGGTGGACCATACTACAGCCGAGATTGTGTTCCTTGGCATCCGGGGCTTGCTTCGGGCTTAATCTAGGGGCCTCAATGAATGACCTATACTATTTTGGGGGCTCCTTATTATAGTCATGGTATAATGGGCCCCAAAACCCTATTCTAATTGTTAAGGCATCTATATATACTAGGTTTGAGTAAGGTTGACGGTTTATAGACCCTAACCCTAAGCCCCAAACCTTCAACAAAGACGCCTTCAAACCCAAAACCCTAAACCCTACACCCTAAACCCTAAACCCTGAACCCTAAACCCTAAACCCTTCAAACCCTGAACCCTAAAGTCCCAAAAGCTCATGGGCCTTCACAGCTGATGGTTCGGAGGTCTCTCTGGGGCTTAGGTGAGTCTTGCGGGTTTCGGTGGGTACTCCTAGGTATGGACAGGGCTATGGCGGTCGCGGGTACCGCGCTCTCTGGGCTTTAAGTACTGACCAAAGGGTCCATATATACTACGAGTATGCAAATAGTTACAGAAAGCAATTTTGAGGCATGGTCTTGTGGGACTTAATTCCATAATGGTGGCATCTGTATGTATATATATATATATGTACACATATACATATATGTATATATATATACATATGGACCCTATGGCCCTATGGTTGGTTTTCATGTCACAGCCCTCTTTGATAACTCTCTTTGTGACGCCACGGATCCTCTGAAGAAATCTTGAGCATCCAGGCTCGGACGTGTTGGTTTCATATGGGAGTTTCCGAAACTTCGTGGTACCTTATTTGGGGGTCCTTATACTTAGGGTTGTATATTATAGGGCCCCCTATTTTCGGGAACTCCCATATAGAAGCACACTGAATGTCACAAGGTAATTGCCAAAACTATTCTTTAGGGCTCCTTATCAAAAGTTTGCTATAATATCTGATTTAATACCCACACCCCCATTCTCATGATTCAGGCCGCTTTTCAGAGACTCCAATCTCCCGTAATTGAGGGGTATATCTTAAATCATAGTAGAACCCCTTATATGATTTAGGGTATACGGTATACCCTAAATCATATAAGGGGTTCCACTATGATTTAAGGTATATTCCTTAGTTCAGGGATATTGGAGTCTCTTGAGGTTAGGGTTTGCTGCGGGGCTCGGTTCCACGTTCGCTTCAGTTGGGGGTCCGGGTTGCTTCAGGGTGCATGTTGCGGGAGTTCCCCCGAATTTCATAGTTCAAAAAGGGTTGTTCGTAGTACTTTACAGAATACCAGCACCCCCAACCACCCTCTCCTATCCCCCAAATACCAACTATTAAGGACCATAAGGGCTCTGTTACAGGGCACCTGGGGGTGCTGGTACATTCCCAAATCCTATTCCGATATGATGCTGGCGCACTCGCTGTCGGAGGAGTTCCTGTATAAACGTAAGGGCGCGACTGTATTTGGGCCTCATACATTGGCACTGGCTTGCAGGGTGCCTGTTTCACAGGGACTGGTCCTACACCACGACTAGAATAAACGCCTCGCTCAGAAAGGGTATGTAGCGGAGTTTCCGAAAATTAGGGGTACCTTCTTTTGGGGTCCTTATAATAAGGATCCTACTTTTTAGGGTACTTTATTAGGGTCCCCTATATTCGGAAACTCCCATATAAGGATATCACTATGCATGTCTCTGCATGAACTGAACGGGGACAATACGCAACGTTGCTTGCAAACAACTGCTGACAAGGGCCCTGTATAGTCCTAAGATTTCTATTTCATATTTTTTGTAGAAAGCCGTATAAAGCTCTTAAAACAGAAGCCCTAGCCACTCAAAGCATGTGTAAAGACCCCAACTCGAGACCCCAACCCCAAACCCCCAAAACCTCAAAGGAATCCCTCAAGCCCCTAAGCCTCTTTCACCGCTTCGGCTACGTTTGGCACCGAGGAGTGGCTCCAAAATCCTGATACAACCCTTGTAAGAAGCCCTTGGAGGTTCATGGGTAGCTATAAGTGGAGTTTAGGGTTTAGGGTTTAGGGAATATGGGTTGTAACTACAGTTATTTTACTTATAACCTCACTTATACCTACCCATGAACCTCCAAGTATAGATCCCTTTCAAGGAACCTCCGGAACCCCCTAAACCCCAGACCCTAGACCCGAAACCCTAGACCCTAAACCCTAGTGCTGAAAGTCTTGAGGTGCCAACCATATATTCATGTAGCCGTGATGGCTGAATGTGCGCATGCTGGCAGGAATCTTTAGTGCAAAGCACGAAGACTCAACACGGAGAAAACTTACCAGACATGTTGCCTGTAGCGCGAAAAGACTTGCCTCTCAATTCGTTGTGCTGTCATGGCTGCTGATACCCCTGCACCGAGTCCTTTTGCTGCTTCAGCCCTTCAGCAGGGTATGAGCCCAACGCCCTTGGTGGAAGGAGAGGCCCGTGGTCCTGACTATGGTGCACCTCCTTTAGATCCACTGCGTGAAGAACAATATATGGGTGAACAGCAAAGGACAGAACAGCTTCCGAATGGGATTCCGTTGGGTGGTCTCTCAGGCCCTGGCGGGAACACTCCCTTGGCTAGCGATGATGTGCATGTGGTTGCAGCTACTGTGACTAGCGAGCCGCGTCAGCTTCCCGGAGATGGAACAGCGGCGGGTGCGACGGGACCAACCTCAGGCGTCACCGGACCGGAATCGTCAGTGCATGAGAACACCGGATCGGGCCGCGGCGACGCGTTTATGTCAGCTACTCCTCTTTTTCCGCAGTTTCGGCCGTCTCCGCTTCCAGGACAATCCCCAGTGGCTTCGCCGCCTAGTTCTTCGAGGGCTTGGTTTGCGAGGTTGGGTGACTACTTACAGAGGACTGTGGAAGTGTGGCCAGTTCCAACCGGCTGTGATGCATCAAGATGACTGGCGCATCCGAGATGTGACTCAGGCAGTCAATTCTCCTCTACCGCAGGCGCCTGTGAGGCACCAAAGAGAGATGGATCCGCGTCCGCCGTCTAGCAGCGGATCTGCCGGAGTGTCGCCGGAGCTTATTCAGGCGGAAGTGTCGCGACAGCTGGAGTCCATGATGTCTGAGGTCAAGGGCCAGCTGCAGGAGGAGCGTATGAGGACCCAGGACGCGCTCATGGAAGCGCGCTTTCTTCGACAGCAGCTGGAGCAACAAGAGCTGAGGCGCGCATTGCCTGCGGCAGTGGAAGGTACGCATCTTCCCCCTCCAGGACTTCCTCTTCCACTGGCTGATGGCTCTGGAGTTTCTGCAGGAGTTCCCTCGAGTCATCCTCTACCTGGTCCTGTGGTACAAGAGCCTCTTCGGTTGCGTGATAAAGTACCGGATGTAGAAGCTGGAGAAGGAGTTCTAGGTTCTACGGTACCCCGGCGTGGAGGTTTCGGAGTATGTCCAGGTGTAGATCCTGGTATAAGTGACGCTGGAGTTGCAGGAGTTCCCGCGAGTCATCCTCTACCTGGTCCATCGGCGGTGCCATATGCACAGCCGCAGCATAGGCAAAGGTCACAGTCACCGTCGGGTCCGAAGGCGTTTTTTCAGGGTCTCTTTGGTCTCGGTGGTCCACCACGCGCAGGATGTGAGTCTAGCACGTCTGTTCCGGTGCCAAAGTCTACAGCAATGGGGTCACAAGCAGCGAATCTAGGTCCACCTCCTCTACTACCTGTGCCTTCGAAAGCAACAGCTTCGGTGCCCCAGGGATCCTCTTCAGAAAGTCAGTTGCTGGCCACGTTGGCTAAGGGAATCGAGCTGCTGCTTCAGCAGCAAGGCGGGCGAGCTGATCGTCCCGAGACCGTGAAACCGGGGATTACACAGCTCCCAATGCTTCCTGAGTACAGACCAGCAACGGGTTCCATAGACCTCTTGAACTGGTTGACGCACATAGAGCCGATCATGCAGGACCTCTCGGATACGAGTAGCTCATGGTGGAGGGCAACACTACAGGATGCTGCGACTTGGTATGCTCAATACAGCGCGGCCCCACCGCTCCTTCGACTACAACTGAAACCAATAGCTTCCACAGGGCATGACCGACCAGAATGGACCCGAGTTGAACGTAGGGCTACTGCCATGATCCTTTCTGCAATCCCCGGCACAGTCAAGGATGAAGCTATCTCCGCGGGTACAATCACGACCCTCACGCTTTTGTGCAAGCTTTACACTGTGTACCAACCGGGTAATTTGCAGGAGAAGGCCCTCATCCTCCAACAGCTTGAACGCCCTGAACCATGTGCCAGTGCCCACGCCGCTGTTGAAGGCCTACGGAAGTGGACGCTTTGGAGAAGAAGAGTGGAGGCCGTCGGGATTGCCGAACCTGACGCATCAGTTCTGGTTCAAGGTTTGGATCAGATAACCTCACAGGTCGTCAAGGGGAACTCTGAGCTGTCCTTTCGAGTTTCCCTTATTCGAAGCAGTCTTCAAGTTGATGTGTGCCCCACAGTGGACTCTGTGACGTCATTCTCTCAGCATTTGCAAGCTGAAATGGAACAACAAGCACGGCTTGGTGCTGTGATGACCCCGCCGGCCGTGAGCCTGAAGGCGATCACCTCCACTTCATCTCCAGATGCCGGTGAAGCTTCTGGGGTAGCTGGAACAGGTGGCTCTCCGCCGGCCCGTCCCAACAATGGCTTGTGTCGCTTCTTCGCAGGAGATAAAGGATGCCGGCGAGGAAATACTTGCCGTTATCCTCACACGTGGAACCTGCTGGAAAAGGGGGGTCGCTCCAAGAAGTGTTTGGCCTGCGGTTCCACCCAGCACAAGGTGAAGGATTGCAAGGCTCCTGGAGGATCTCAGTCACCATCGAGAACCAACAAAGGGCAGGTCACTGGCCCGGGTGAGACGGGTTCTACTTCCCCTACTGCGACGGTGGAGTCTTCGGCAAGAAGGGTGACGTTTGATGGGGAGCAGATCCAGGCGAAAGTCCTCCAGACCCTCAATGATGTACGGTTTTTACCAATGGTGCGGTCAGTGGTCAGCAAGGTATGTGGATGGGCGACAAGGAGGACTCCGCCGTCTCCGCGTTCGAGGTCGGCATTGTTGGACTCAGGAGCAACACATGTTTTGCGAGGCCCACGTGATGATGGTGAATGGGAGGCCGCTCGTGAAGTTCGGGTTCAACTGGCCGGGGACTCTAGCACTTCTATGAAGCAAACCCAGGAAGGGACGTTGTTGAACGAGGACCAGATGGCCCAGATCATCGTTCCCCTGGGCAAGGTCATTACTCACCTAGGCTTCCGACTTCATTGGACCGCGGAAGAGTGCTACCTTGAGGGTGAGGATGGTGAGGTGATCAACTTGGATGTGGTGAGAGGCTGTCCCGAGGTGAGTGAAGAGGTGGCCCAGACTTTGATTGCTCGGTTGGAGCAGTCACAACTCCCTGAGCTTGTGAGCTCAACTGAGGCGTCGGTGAGGGCGCTGGGTGCTGTGAAGACAAGTTGGAGGGCTTGCTTGATGGAGTATGTTGTGAGTGGCAACATGGAGTCGGGCAGAGCTGCTGTTGACAAGGCCTCCTTCTTGATGTACCGCGAGGAGGTAAAGGAAGCCTTGATTGTGAAGCGATCTACAAAGGGTGTTTGGGACATCTTGAAGGGCATCAATGTGAACCGGCGCTCCAGAAAGCGTCTCCTTCGTTCGCCCTCCTGGGTGGTCCGGTGGGACCCCCCGTCTGTGGATCGCCAGCGGGATGACTTGAAGCATCTTGGAGGTGCTGAAGAGTCTATTTACCTCAATGTCAACACCTTGCTGGTCGACAATGAGTTTCAGGATGTGTGGCGAGTGTTGTTGTGGGGAGCTACGTCAGGGAAGATAACTACAGTTGTTGCACGCGATTGTCAAGGAACCTCCCTGGATCAAGTGGTGGCGGCTCCGCATCGTGATAAGGTGCACCTTCTTCATGCGTTGTCTACGGCGGGCCGCACGGTACGTGGTCAGGGCCAAGTTCGGCTACTTGTGGAAGATTGGGATCGGGTTCAGCGAACAGATCAAAATCCCGATGATGATATTTGGCCGGCCTGGTCACGATGTGTGGATGCACGGGAGTATGTGAAGGAGATGGGCATCATGGATATCTCGATCTCTCGATTCACTGGCAAAAGATATGCGAGGTTAGCTCGCATGGATGGGGATGCCGCATGGCGTCTCCATGTGATGAGGGGCCACCAGCCCTTCCGCCGAGATTGCTCGGTATGTGTTCGGAACAGCGCCACGGGCAAGCAGCACCGGGCGACAATGCACCCGATGGCCTACAGCCTCAGCGTTGATGTTGTGGGCCCTCTCAAGGAGTACGGCAAATCACCTGATGGGAAGTTCTTCAAGTACTTTGTGATAGGTGCTCTGAGGATACCTAAGATCGAAGGTGGAGAAGGCCATCCTGAAGTTCGGGGCCACCCAATCCCTCCTGAAGGTGATCCTGAGTGTCCGGATGAAGATGTGTTGTCCGAGGAGGAGGTTGATGAGGACGAGTCCAAGGTCGAGGGTGACTGCCTATTGGAGTCGGAGGTTGAAAAGGAAAAGGAGCGCTGGCATGGACATGTTCAAGGCGCCCCTCGAGACCTCAACCCTCTACTTCGCGGTCCCCGTCAACAACAAGAAGGCGGCAACGATGCTACCGGCGGTCCAGAAGATTGTCTTGGATGTGAAGGCATTGGGATATCCGGTTACCCGTCTCCATAGTGATCGAGGAGGAGAGTTCAGGGGCCACTTGGTGAGACGATGGGCTCTGTCACAGGGGATGTGGCCTACGACGACTTCGGGTTCTGAGTCGGCCGCCAATGGTGTTGCAGAGTCTGGTGTCCGTTACCTCAAGCGCCGAGCGCGCGTGTTGATGGATAGCGCGGGTGTTCCTAAGTGCAACTGGCCTACGGCGATACAATACGCCGCCACCCAGCAACGCTATGATGCTCTGGGCATGATGTCACCAATGCCTTTTGCTTATGGGGCTCGTGTCTACGTGAAGACCAAGAAGTACAAGACTGGAGCAGTGGAGGACTTTGGCCCCCATTGGACTCATGGGCGTTATGTGGGCCCGTCTACCGATGTTCGAGGTGGACACTTGATCGTGAAAGAGTCCGGGACCTTTGTTCAGACCACCCATGTGAGGGTTACCACCGACCCTCCGCCTCTTGATAAGGTTGCTCCTTCAATCATTGTTGAAGCTGAGGGTGAGAAGAAGGATGAACCTGTCGGAGCAGAACCCCCTCTACCACCACCGCATGAACCACCACCGAGAACGCGGATGCGATCAAAGATGCCTAGGGCAGCAAAGGTGGGCGAGCTCTATGAGTTGTTTCCTGGATTGTCAGAGATTCAGAATGACATAAAGGGCTCGGATGAGGAGGAGGCGGTCATGAAGTACTTGAGGCCAGAGGAGATTGAGTATGTGGAGCTGGTTGCCAAGGACTTGTTTGTCAAAGAGAAGTTCACTGCGGAGGACAGTGCTCACCTGTTGGGCCTCTTTGCTGGGACATGTGGAAACTTGAAGGTTCCCCGTGCTCCGGAGGGTCAAGGAATGGTTATGGGAGCATTTGTTCATGGCGGTTCGTTTGGCGTGACTCGGTATGGCCGTGATCTTCCCTGGACTACAAAGTATTTCAACGTTTACATGATGAAAAAGATTCTGGACCGATGGCCTGGAACGAGACCAACATGGTCTGCCCTTGTGATCCAGGGTTCGGATCAAGTCCCCCGGCATCGTGATGTTCACAATGAAAGGGCAACGTTCAACTATGTGTTGGAGTTAAAGTCTGAGGCGGTGAATGGTTTGTGGGTGGAGAACAAGGGCGATGAGAGATGTGTTGTTGGAGGTGAATGTCCTGTTGATTACCAGTATGAAACACCAGATGGTGCAGTACATGAAGGCTGTTTGGTTGATGTTACGGAATCACCGGCGGCGTTTGACCCGCGGATCCCCCATGCGTACGTTCAGACTGGGGGGAAAAGGTGGTTCCTGTCGGCCTACACCCCGCAAGGGGTTTCAAGACTGAGTGCTTTGGACAAGGAGTACCTCAACAACCTGAACTTCCCTCAGCGTCGTGATGAAGTTGATGATCATCATGGAGTGCTGGAAACCACACCGGCACTAAGGACGGCTTCCTTTCCTTCAGAGGATACACTGAGTGGATCTCGTGTGAGTATGCAAGATGTGGAACCTGTCACCATCGGTGATTGTGAAGCTACCTTGTGTGATTGGGGCTTCTATGTGGAAGATACCGTTGAGGAGGAGTACGCCCCCCACCAATACCGTCAAGTGAGTTGCCTACGTCAGGTGTGTTCATCAGATGATCCTGGTGTGGAGCTAAATGGTTTGGTTCAGTCTATCCAGGAGCTCGTTGAGGAGGAGGTTGGACCTAAGATCACCGACGAGATGTTGGACAACATGGAGCATTGGAGCTCTATGGGACTGTTTGATGTTCCAAGGATTTGCAAGGTCGAGCCCGAGTACACCCCGGACATTGAGGACTTGATTAATGCTGCTACCCGTCAGCGCATCCCGCTTCGCCACACCTACAATGTGAGTCCATCGGAGGCTAGATCCTCGATTGAGAGGTGGAGGAGCTCTATCATCAAGGAGCTTGGCGTGGTTGAAAAGGGGTTCCAAAGGATCAAGACGAGTGACCTGAGCCAGTTGAAAGTTAGCCACACGGTCCAGGAGCTTCCTTCGAAGCTTGTTTTCACGGTGAAACCACCAGCGAGCTCCACAGCCCAGCCGCAACAGGACAATGAGGACGATGAGTCACACTACTGCAAGCGTAAAAGCAGGATAGTGTGTTGCGGGAACTTTGCTTCAGATGAGGGCTATGACTTGTTTGCTGGAGGTGTTGCGGCAGAAAGTCTTCGATGCGTGTTGGTGTTCACGGCGGGTGAGGGCTGGATGATTGGGACCGTCGATGTCACTGGAGCGTTTATGTTGACTCCGTTGTCGAGGGCAGAAGGTCAAACGCTTTATGTTATACGACCACCAGCAGCCCTTATCCAGCTAGGCTTGGCCGACAAGGACGAAAGGTGGCTGCTCACTCATGGAATGTACGGTTTACGACAATCACCACGACTTTGGTCTGAGTACCGTGATTCTGAGTTGAAGCAGATGACCATAGAGTGCAATGACAAGTCGTGGTACATGAAGCCTGGCATCGCCGAGCCCAATGTTTGGATGGTGTATGAAGTGGGCGTCCCCGTCGAGCAAGGACCAGCAGGCCTAGTACTGCTGTATGTCGATGATATTATGCTTGCTGGCCCTCATGATTTGGTGCTGGCCATGTCTTCATCGATTGGCCGGTTGTGGAAAACTTCGGAGCTAGATCTACTGACTCCCGGCCGTGATCTACGATTTCTGGGATGTGAGATCTCGGTGAGCGATGATGGACGAGTGTTTTACATTCACCAGCGGCCCTACATCGAAGAGGTCCTCCGGCATCATGCGATACCAGATACCACGCTCTCCTATGTCCAGGCCCCTCGCGAGATGGTGACCTTTGAGGCGTTTGAGGACGAGGCGCAAGGGACAGAGGAGCAAGTAAAGGCTGCACAACGACTGTGCGGCGAACTACTGTGGCTTGCTCAGCGTTCGAGGCCTGACATCAGCTACGTTGTCAGTGCCATGGGATCCCTACTTTCCCGGGCCGCCGCACGGTGCACGGCCATTGGGATGAGGCTACTAGCCTACCTCCAGCAGACAAAGCACTTATCATTGGCAATGAGGGCAACATCAGACGAGCTGATCGCATTCTCAGATAGCTCCTTCGCCCCGCAAGGGACCCGGAGCTTTACGGGCGCAGTGCTGAGCTGGAGAGGATCACCAGTTTCCTGGCGAGCGGCCAAGCAGCCGTTTACGTGCCTGAGCACGGCCGAGTGCGAGCTTGTCGCGTCCATCGAGGCGCTTACAATGGCCAAGTCCTTGGAAGCCGTGATTCCTTTAGCTGGACCCAGTGGAACGCCCCATTGTGCTTGGTATCGACAACCAAGCCGCGATATCTATCGCGCAACCTTCGTCTACGGCGTCATGGAGAACGAGGCACTTGAGGGTGAGGGCTTCCTATGTTCATGAGCAGGTCACTTCCAAACAAGTGATTTTGAGGTATGTCCCGGGCAAGCAGCAGTGGGCGGACCTCCTAACCAAAAGCTTCCCGAAGCAGAGACTTTTTGAGTTGCTTGGTTTGTGGGGGTTCATCGATCGGGCAGACGAGATTGCCCGCACAGCTATGATGATGACCATGCTGATGTGCTTGATGATTCAGACCGCTCGGGCCCAGGAACAACATGAACCTCTGGCGATCAATACCTCTGTGGAGCTCTACGTGATGATCCTTGTTTTGGGGATTGCAGTTGTGGGTTTGTGGGAATTTCTATGGCTTTGTGTTGATCGATGCTGTGGAACTCCTCAAGAGTCAAGGTCAGCGAGGAGATTGAGGCGATTACAGGAAGCAGTGCATCGTGAACTTGCCCCATAGACCGGGTTAGGCCGAAAGTTATCTTGACCAGAAGACCGGAGGATCTCCTGGATCACAGGAATTCAAGATATTTATCTTATCCTGTGATTTTGGATATGATATCCAAAATCCCAGCGTCAAGTTCTCCAAAATCACAGCGCAAAATTTTGGATCCCAGATCCAAAATCACAGTTTTATTTTCGACCTGTGATTTTGGATCTATATCCAAAATCACACTTCCCGAATTCCTGCGATTTTGGATCTAGGTCTGGCCCGGCAGGGGTCGAAACTTCGACCCCCAGGGGTCGAAACTTCGACCCCTCGGGGGTCGAAACTTCGACCCCTCTCTGGTGTATAGCAAGATATATATGTATATATATTTGTCTTTCTTTCTGTCGGTCTTTCTGCCTCTCTGTCTCTTTGTTTTTTGGTCTCTGTCTGTCTGTCTGTCTGTCTGTCTCTCTCTCTCTCTCTCTCTATATATATATATATTATATTCGCGAAGCTTTTGATTTTCCAGCATGTGGTGAATTTTGTTGGGGGATAGCGAAGTTTTGTTTTCCGAGACGACCGACCCGGTTTTTGGGTCCTGAGATGCCTTTGCTATACATGCTGGCTCTATATTTGGCACACACCAGCATATACCTTGAGAGTTGGGTGTGAACGAAACCAACAATTGACACCGTGTGTGTGTGTGTGTGTGTGTGTGTGTGTGTGTGTGTGTGTGTGTGTGTGTGTGTGTGTGTGTGTGTGTGTGTGTGTCTGTGTGTGTGTGTGTGTGCGGGTCTATGATGCGGGACAAAAGCATGTGGTATGGAACCAGGTGTGGTCGCATGCAGAATATATAAGTCTATGAGTGAGATTTTCGGCACTAGGAATATATGTAGGTTTTAAAAAGTAATGCAGCTTGAACACTTTTTAGAGAGTATAGAGCAGGTTGAGAACATATGTAAACAGCTTCAGCAAACACAACGGGCCCCGACAGTTATATATTTCATAGAGTAGAGAGAAACCTTATATAAGAGAGCCATATGCAATATACTGACCATGAGGGTGTTTAGTGTTGAACAGAGGGTATATATACCCTCGAGCATTGCATGTTTAGGAGCAGTTGGAGGGAATATGTAGATGACCTTGAGAGGTGTGTTATAATTTTGAGAGTATACCCCACCTTGAGAGTTTAGTGTTGTACAACAAGGGTATGTGAGACTTTTGCATGTTTAGGAGCAGTTGTGGAGGGAATATATGTAGATGTGACCTTGTGAGAGGTGTGTCAGACCTTGTGAGAGGATATATTACACCATGAGAGTTTTTGCTGTTGACAAAGGGTATTTACCTTGAGAGATTGAATTTGCACGTGTCTGAGCAGTTGGAGGGAATATGTAGATGACCTTGAGAGAGGTGTGAGACTTTGACAGCACATATATCTTACACCTTGAGAGTTTAGTGTGTTGTGCAGAGAGTTTTTACTTTGAAAGTTCAGTGTTGCACAGAGAGTGTTTACCTCGAGGGCTAGGAGCAGTTGTGTCTGCGAGGACACAATCTGTAAACGACCTTGAGAGGTCTGAATCCTGTGTTTCACATGTTGCCGGCAGGACTCGGGCTTTCTGTGCTCGGTAGTAAGTATAGCGACCCCGCTTTCGGTTTCACAAGCTTTTTTGTACAGCTGCCCTGCTGCCGCAGCATGGCTCTCACCGGACAGACGGGACGGTTGGTCGCCGATCCCACGATCGGTGTGGAAGATATCACAGGTGTGCTCAGCAAGTGGCTGAAATCCCGAAAGACTACGGATTTCTTCAAGGCCTTGAACTTGCCTCGCGGGCTCACCTTCAAAAAGTCCCCGATAGGCTCCTGGATGGCGGGTGCTGCCGACCTCTACAAAGAGCTCATGCTCCTCGCTCCGAACGGTATGCTCAGCCCGAAGAAGGTCAGAACAGCCTTGGCCAAAATGAACGAGCAGGAGGAGAAAATTAATCACACTCGGAAATCGGACAACGACTTCATCGATTTGACTGATGAAGGCATCAGGATCGGGTGTGCCATGTTCAGGTGCCTCAAGGTGGAAGCCAAGACCAAGCAGCGGTGCTTTGCTATGATGACAGCGGCTGAGCAAACGGCTGTGCAGGATGTCCTCGACATCATGAATTGTGGTCCCGTCCTAGAGGACGGATCTCAGGAGTCTGTCAGCGAGCCTCCTCCGGGAATGCTTGCTTTGACAGATGGTGCCGCTGATGCAAGGCCTGCAGATGCAAGGCCTGCAGATGCAAGGCCTGAAGATGCAAGGCCTGCGGTTGCAAGGCCCCTGGCCTTGGAAGACGACCCTAGACCAAAGCCCAGCCTCCGTCGGCTCGACCCCATGGCAGTCTTTGACAGAGTTCTGAGCAGAGTAAGTTCAGAAGAGGCAGAGAGCGAAGATCTTCCTGGACCTAGTAGCAGCAGTCGGGCCCCACCTGCTGCTACAACAAGCACAAGCAGCAGCCCCATGGACGTGCACTTCAGCTTTTTGTTGAGCCAAGCCGAATCTGTGGAGCCCTTGGACAACAAAGCCCAGTTGATCATATTCCGCAAAAACTGCCCTGAGAAGAAGGGGAAAGGGAAAGGGAAAGGGAAAGGCAAGCAGAACGGAGAGGCGAACAAGAAGAGCGAGGCGAATCAGAAGACTGAGAATGCGATCCCTACTAAGTCCAGGTCTTCAGCGCCAAGCAAGGTCAAGAAGCCCATCGAGTCCCCGGACGGCGAAGCCACCGAGATCTCCGAAGAGAAGGATACGATTCCCGCAGTCAGGCACTCCAAGAAGAGCCCAGAGATCCCTAAGAGCAAGGAGAGCCCAAAGTCTAAGCAGTCGGACCCGAAAGCCAAGGCTACCCCGAAGTCGACCCCGAAATCGAAGGCGAGCCCAAAGTCGACACCGAAATCCAAGGCGACCGCGAAGGCCAAAGGTGAGAAGAAGACTAAGAAGGAGAAGCCCGAGTTGCACAACACTAAGGTGAAGCCTGAGCCTGAGTCTGCGGTGAAGGCCGAGGAGTTCCCCGAGGATGAGCATGATGGTGTAGAGAAGAAGAAGATGAAGATGGACAGAACAGCCATCCGGAAACGAGTGGTCTCCAAAGCCTACCACAACGAGAGAGATCGGCAAATGAAGGCGGGTCTTGAGAAGGAGGCGGCTTCCGAACTTGGTCGTGCTGCTGCCAAACGTGCAGGTGATCAGTTTGACTCGGAGAATCCCAAGGAGAAGAGGGCCAAATTGAAGCTCAAGGACATGGAGGGAGAGGATGACTCTGAGTGTCCTGCTGATGCTGCTAACCCCGAGGGTGCTGACAAGGAGCCTGAAGATTAGATTCCTCTGTGTGTGCACACAATCAGACATGTTGGTTGATAGGTGTTATAGTGCAGTGACTATAGTACGTTTGTGCTGATTGCTTTGATAGGAACCGTATGCAGTTGTGCACAAAGCCCGTGGAGCATGCTGCTGCATAGTTCTGTATGGGGTTTTGAACTTGAAAACACAATAGTTCTAAGTAAAAAAGCATAAGAAGAAGTCGTGTGTCGCTTTATTTCCTGAGCAGACTGTGTAGCTTGCACAGTCAGATTTTGAGCCCATGGAATGGTCACTTGTGTGGCTTTTATAGAAGCGAGAGTGCTTGTCTCTCCACGGAATCAGATGGGAGATGTGTGTGAGGCCTGTTTGCTATAGAAGCGAGGGCTTTCGTCCCTCCACGGAATCAGATGTGACATGCAGGATGGGCGCTTTTTGCCATACATCTGCGAAGGATCAACGTGGACAGATTCGTGGAAGCTGTGTGTATGCTGCTTCGGTGGCGACCCCAAAATCAGAGTGCAGCTTTGTGATCAATGGCTGTTGCGAGCTGTGTGATGCTGTGAGCTTTGCTGTCATGCATGTTGTGTGAACCTTGAGTGGACCATGAGAGCATTCTGTCGAGCGGCGGTAGGTTGAGTGGACCATGAGAGCATTGTGTGTATCGATTCGCAAAGCATCGGTAGGTTGAGAGATTCAGACTTCGAGGAATGCGAAATTCAAAGCAACACCACACAAGCATCACACACACACACTGACACACACACACACATCCTGCTCTAGAAAGGTGTGACTGTGCAACTTCGGCATCGTCGGCTGTGGTGGGCCACTCGAGGCCGGATTAAATCAGGGTCTTGGGTTTTGGGCCGGCTTGGGATTCCAGGATTTCGGGTTAAGCATGGGGGTGGCGATGATGATAGTGAGATGTCTAGAAGCATATGGTGGTGTTGGGGTTGATGCTTGATGCTAGACTAGCAAATCTCATATACAAGCCCTTATATACTTATGTGTATGTATATATATATATATATATGAATGTATCTATACATATTATGTTTTATTTAAATATTATATATATATATCATTTATCTATATGCATTTGCACTTCTGTTTCCTATATATATATATATAAGCTATATACTTGTATCAGATTCAATCCGTTCTGTGCAGTTTAAAACCCCAAAACCCTGGACCCCCTAACCCTAAACCCTATGAGCGCCTAGACCTTAAACCCCAAGTGCCAAGCCCCAAATCCCAATTTCCAGGATGTTCTGGAGCCTTTTATTACACGGTTGAGGGTTT